AGAAAATGACTAAGTGAGAAAAGATAAGGTTGATGATTTAATAATTTAATTCTAAAAATGATCAGTTAAATAAAATAGACCAATATCACTGAAATGATGCTTTTGTCATTGTCCCTACTGTCCGCACTCCCACAAAAAAAGTAATGGCAGAGCCTCTGATGTTTTGAATTGACATTAGAGCTCTCTGGCAGAATCTAGAGGACTTCTCATCATCCACAATGGTACCCAGCCCTCCGGGAAGGACCAGAAACTAGGCAGACCAGTAGCAAAGCCCAGAAAAGAATGCAGCTCTTTAACATTTTGGCTTAGAGTTATTTCTCTAAGCTAAGAGTAAATTCACTGTTCAACTGGTGAGCAAAGTTGTGGTCTGCTTTTTATGGTCTTAAAACTTATAATTGGTGCCAGCTTGGTTCAATAGATATTTGAGTACCTATTGTGCCAATTCCATATCTTTAATGTGTATCATATCTAACACATCTTATGACTCAAGGGGGTGGAATTTTTGCAATAGAAAGTGCTGTGATGAGAGAGCCAGAGGAGCTCTGCTTAAATGGGCTATACTGTTAATCAACTGAGTGACCCTGGTCAAGTCATTTACCTCTCAGCTCTCAGAAATCTCCTTTTTTAAGTGAAAGGGCAAGGGGTTGGTTTATTTGATCTCTAAGATCTCCACTACCTTAAAAATAGTTGAAAATAGCATTTCTACTTTTATCCCAGGGAGAATCTTATAGCCATTGCTATATAAAGAGGTTGGGAAACTGTCTCATGTGTATTGTGCCCACCATCACCCAAGCTCTTGCAAACAGATGTAGGTGGAAATGGTACTGTCCAGCATCATGATTAATCATGACTAAACATGCAGAAGTGCTGCATACACCTGCAGAGATAATCTCCATTTAAAGAAATGTAGTCTGGTTGTTTCAAAGAAGAATCAGGCACTAACTCCTTAGTAAACTTCCTCTTGCTTATCTGGGAAGGATCTTTCAAGTGCTGCCTATAGATTCCTTATTATTTCCAAGTATTCCTGTAGCGCCTGCTCAGCCAACTGATAGAGTCAACTGAATGACTGTTCCCCATTCTCTTTATAAACTGTGTGCCTACCTCCTGTTACCCTGCTATTTCCACATTGCTCAGGCCCCAGGAAAACCTCCCCCTGTTTTCAAGGCTCAGCTTTGGTACCACCTCCTACGTGAAGCTTTATCTCTTCTTTCTTTAAACATCCATGGCAGGGCATGTTATCTCCTCCTTTTACACAGCATTTTTCCCTTATCTACAGTTTCACTTCCTGCTGTTACAGTTATCGGAGGTTAACGGTGATCCGGATGCAGAGGATGCCCTGACGAATCTTCAGAAGGTCAATAGCAGCCTAATGTTACGTCATCCTGCCCAGGTCATTCACCCCACTTCATCTCATCCTGTAAACATTTTATCATCTCACATCAGGACAAGAAGGGTGAGTATAGTACAATAAGGTATTTTGAGAAAGAGACCCTATCCACATAAATTTTATTACAGTATATTATTATAATTGCTCTATTTTATTATTAGTTATTGTTGTTAATCACCTACTGTGTCTAATTTATAAATTAAGCTTTGTCACAGGTATGTATGCATAGGAAAAACAGTATATATAAGGTCCGGTACTATGCATGGTTTTAGGCATTCACTGGGAATCCCAGAACCCATTCCCTGTGGATAAGGAGGGACCACTTCATTTACCTCCTGCCTTGTACTGCAGTCACTTACAAACGTGCTTTATCTTCCTTCCTAGACTGTAGGTGCTATTGTCCGTAGCACCATCTCTTACCTTATCAAGTCTAAAATGCTAAGCCTGGTGTCTTCTATAAAGCAAAGCCTTCACACATTTATGGAATACTTTCAGCCCTCCCTAGTGGTTGGTATCACAATTCCTTTACCCTGCTGCCTTTTTGATGGGTCTGTTTATTTTTATTTTTAGGAAACTGTGGTGATGTAATTTCTCTTGAAGTAACTTTGAATCCATGTTAATAAATTGTATATTTAGTTGGATTTTTTGGTACAAATTCAGCATCATAGTTTTGCAAGGAGATGAAGAGAATTGCTTCTACCACAGGCCTGGTTCCCGTTTAGTCTGAGTAGGTTATATATTTTATTTTAAAGAGGATGAGACTGTGCTTTGTCTGAGACTGGGACAGGCCCTGAGTTAAATAATGGTCTTTGGGTCCCATTGAAAATATGTCATCAACAGAGCCAAACATACATTTTGTTCTCCTTTTGACTTTAGTCAAGAGCATTTTGGGATTTGCATGGTACCACCATTTATTTTAAATGTGAAAGCAGTTCTGATCTGTGTGTCTTTCGGGGCAGGCCTGCTTCTTTTACTTTTTCTTTCTGTTTTGACCCCAGAATATCTCAGCTTAGTATTGGGGTGGTGGAGGCAGCAGCAGGTGGTCGCAGAAACATTCTGATAAGCCCTTTGGGGAGAAGGATGCCCTTCCAGAAGGAGGGCCCATTTGCCTGGAAGGCAGCAAGGGAAATCACTGGTGACAGCTGATTAGAACAAACAGGAAGAAGAGACAGGTTTGCCAAAGGCTTCTGTACACCTTCCCCGTTTGCAAACTTCCAGGCAGATGAAAATGTTTTCCAGGTGGGTTTTGGATTTGTACCTACAGGGAGAGTTCCCACACATCCCAAAGTACCATACCCTTGGCTAGAGAAATGCCACACACACCTAGATGCCATCATAAAGAATCTGTCATGCAAACACTGGAGGATGCATGATGGGTGCCAGGAAAGGCACATCAAAGTAACCGAACTCTTACAGTGTCCTGTATTTCCATAAAGTGTATTTATGCAAATCTATTGCTGACGTCTAAGACAATAAAACGTCTCTCAGCCTCCCCATCATTCCCTTTTCTTCAATTAAGTCACTGTTAACATCGTCATCTAAAAACCCCATGCAGAAAGAATCTTTATTAAATAGAGATGATAGTGGTTTTGACTGCTTGTACTTATTCGTTGATAAACGTTTTTATTTTGTTTTTTAATCAGTCACTATGGGTTGGGTGTAAGGCTGGGTTTAGAGGTTTTTTGTTTTTTTGTACATTCTCTTTCTTTATGGCTAGTAAATACATTAAGCACGCTCGGATTTTTCAAGAAGCTTCCTGGCCATGGCGGTTATTTGGGAAAAACCACCACCACCACCACCACACATCATCTTTCTTTTGAGTTTTACAGTAAAAATCTGTTTTGAGAGGGAAATGGAGCGTGCTAAGCTAATCACAGCTTTCCTTTCTCTTATTTTCCCCACGTCAGAACAATCCGCTCCTATCAGCTCCTTGGCGTGCGGGATGTTGGCAATGCTGCATAATTAAGTGAAGCATCCAAACCACTCGGAAAAATGCAAACAAATAAACCACCCCCACCCCGCTCCCCGTCCATGCGGGAACTAGACTAAATTTGTCAGCAAACAGACTAACAACACATTTCAAAGGTACAGTTTCTGAGACTACAAAAACAACCCACTTTGCGGGGAGACTGTTAGGTGCGTCCCGCTGAGTAAAGCGCTTGGCTAGTAACTTACTGCCTTTCGGATCCACTCATGCCAACCCACAGGCCGGGAGGATGGGTGTGCGGGGACCCCGTTTCCATTCTTGGGGATGGGAAGCCGAGCTCCGAGGACAGCTCATCAATAGATCCCAATGCTTGACAAGTGCCCCTAATTCCCACCCCGCACCTTCATAATTTGATTACAGAATTTCTTCTCTCCACCATTGCACCCCGCTTTGCGCAGAGGGTGCCACGACTTGGGCAGGAAGCCGCCATTCGGGCGGGCGAGGGCGGGAATCTGCAGGGCGTAGGGTCGGACTCCCTGACACCCAGGGCTGCGGAGGCGAGAAGGGCGCAGCCCCGGCTGCCGCGGCCACAGAACGACAAGCCGCCGAGGCCGTCTAGGCAGCCTCGCCCGAGGTTAGCGGCCGGGCGGGTCCTCCCGCGCCCTCCCTCTTTCGCTGGTGAATGAATGGTTGGTCAAACAGCACCTCCCCGCCTCAGTCCGCCCGCGGTTGAAAGGGAGGTGTCTTGGAGAAATGGTGCCTCTTTTTTAAGAACGAAAAGCGTTCGCCTCCGTGGGTTTATTAATCGACCTTGCGCATTCTGTCCTCCCTGGTGTCAGGACGCGCAAACACGAAAGCACCCAACACTGATCTCCAAGGTCCCTCGCCCCGCTGGCCGCTCAGCTCGTGAGTCCGCTGTCCGCCCCACGCCGGCCCCACTGGCCAGAGGGAAAGAAAGCATGGACGTGAAAGTTGCGGGGGCCCTCCTGGCCCCGTTTGCCGCACCTTCCCAGAGCTGGGGCACCTGGGATGGAGT